TTTTTTCACTTCAAAACATATAATTGTTACGCTCCTTTTGCCAGGGGAGAAAGGGAAGTAACAATGAACATACCAAGATGTTTAAGGATGTTTAAGGGAGCACAGAATAATAAATAATAAAAAGGATTTAAACAAAATAATCTACTAAACTAAGGACTAAGTACAAAGCAACAAAATCTAACTAACGTTGCACTGCGAAAACAAGGTGTCTCAACGAACTCAACAGAGGCAACAGCCAGCATTTTAATGAAAAACAAAATGAGAAAACCAAAAAAATCAACCAAACAAAAGGGTGAGCTGGCCGCAGGTGGCATCCGCAGATTGGTGGGGGCAGAAGGGTGACTGGCCAATCCTCGACGTGCTCCGACGCCCAGCCTCCGTCCGGCGTGGAAATCTTTGTGGAAAGATTTCTCTCATTCTATCTTCGTGTAAATGAATGTGATTTCGAACCTGAAAACCAGACCAGTCATCATGTTTTTTGAACAGGTATTTCAGCGATAAAGTTCATTTAATGCAGCATCACATCACGGTGTCCCGACAAAGCTCCTCTCTTCAGGAAGCCCTTTGTTGTCCTCAACGTCAAACTGTATCATGTTCATAAGCTTTGCGTTCACCAGCCTCAGATCTAAAGAAACCAAAGTCACTTTGCTTTGAAATGTAAACTTGTATTTCTGTATAAATAGAGACACTTGGGCAGATACTGTGGAGATGCTTGGAAGATGGGGCAAGATGTGGTAGGGCCACACTGCTGGTGGAGAAGAGGCTGTTGGACTCTGGCCAGGGCAGGACTAGGCCCTGTCCATATCTGCTGTAACAAGAATAAACCTTGGTCCATATTCCAAAAACTCATCGGGCTTTGCAAATGGATTCATTATTTATCTTCAAGAGATACATAATTTTTTCCACAACTCTGCCTAGTGTATTGCGAAATCCTGACCTAGTCGCTGGAGAGAAATGAAACTGAGGAACAACTAGGAGTGTGCAAAAATATAGAAATATCGATATATCGTATCTTTTAATGCGATAATACAGTATCGATATTGGGGCAGCTGTATCGATATATCGGCAAGAGTACTTTTTGGTACATTTTACTAAATTATTTTGTTACAGCTACAGTTTTGTTGCTTGTTTAGTGGAAGGAAACTCATTTATGCGACACATTTGACATTTTCACTCTTTTGATGATTAAAATATTTGTATTTCATACTAACTTTGCACAAGAAGTGGTTTAACAAAGAATTTTGTTTCACAGCCACAATTTACCCATTACTTTTTATTGAACTGTATCAAATATTTGAAATATATCATATCAAATCCAAAATGCACTGTATCGAGATATGTATCGGATCGTGACCTATATATCGAGGTATGTATCGTATTGGCAACTTGTTAATGATACCCAGCCCCAGGAAGAACATTGAAACACACCCTTGAGGCCAAATAAAAGTCAGGTTTGTGGAGATGCGAGCCTGCTCACAGTAAAGACTCGTGTTTTACAAAAAATCCATAATCCAAAGTGAAAAGGAAACATGCTTTTATTTTAGCCTAATTTTTGTTACATACTTTGGCTTTTGATTGTTCATTTCTACGGCTGTGGTCTTAATTTCTCCCCTTTCTGAAACCCGTGAATATCTCCTTCACTAACGACCAGTACAGTTTCTCTTATCTGATGCTGAACCCTGTTTCTTCGCGCTCCCTGGTCGTTTCTTGGGCCAGCTGTCCGTCTTGTTTCGTTGTTATTTGCGGCAAATGCCTCTGGAAGCGTCTTGACCTGTGAAAACATGAGAAAAGCATCTCTGAGTGCTCTGCTTCAGACCCGCTGCCACTTACGACCAAAGAAACACCGACATTTTTCAACCAGGCCAACACTCCACTGCAAATCAAATTTCCCCCACTCTCCTGTGCCCTCTGTGCTGCGTTAGCTGTAAAAGCGCTTGTTAAACTCACTGTCCAGAGCTGCGTCCTTGGAAAATCTATTGGTATTTGAGCATTTGGAGGGTTTGATGGAAGCCCGTCACTCTCTGTCCACAAGGCCACTGAAGTGCTGCACAATCTGCTCATAAATCTGACTTTAGTGCCCAGAGCTCCTGCCGCTCATTCACCTGCATGTGCACCCTGTGGCCTGTTGTATTTTTATTTTGGTTTGGATGTAAATTAATTTAAACTGAAACAAAATTGAAATGTTAAAAATCATAATTAGCTCATTTCATAGGCTGGAATTTAGTGTCGTCGCGATACAAAAAATTCAAAATGTTCAAACTTGATTTCAACACTCGATAGTAATTTGGACGCAAAAATATCTCAGTTAATTATACATTTAAGTCCTATTTGCACGGGATAAGTACAACCTGGGGACGTGTGGTAATTTGTAAATTACCACGTCTGTGTTACTTGCAGCGCATTCGCACGGGATAAACGAAGTCCATAAATTACTCTTTTACTTTTACTGATATTAAGACCGGATACGTCGTAACATCAGATATAAAAATAGGAAGGAAAGTTAGTATAAAGGCGACTGGACCAGGACTGAACCAGGTCTAAACCAGGTCTAAACCAGGACTCGTACAGGACTGGACCAGGACTAGACCAGGACTGAACCAGGACTAAACCAGGTCTAAACCAGGTCTAAACCAGGTCTAAACCAGGACTCGGTACAGGACTGGACCAGGACTAGACCAGGACTGAACCAGGACTAAACCAGGTCTAAACCAGTCTAAACCAGGTCTAACTGGTACAGGCTAGACCAGGTCTACCAGGACTGGACCAGGACTAGACCAGGACTGAACCAGGACTAAACCAGGTCTAAACCAGGTCTAAACCAGGTCTAAACCAGGACTCGTACAGGACTGGACCAGGGCTAGACCAGGACTGAACCAGGACTAAACCAGTCTAAACCAAGTCTAAACCAGGTCTAAACCAGGTCTAAACCAGGACTGGACCAGGGCTAGACCAGGACTAAACCAGGTCTAAACCAGGTCTAAACCAGGTCTGGACCAGGGCTAGACCAGGACTGAACCAGGACTAAACCAGTCTAAACCAAGTCTAAACCAGGTCTAAACCAGGTCTAAACCAGGACTGGACCAGGGCTAGACCAGGACTAAACCAGGTCTAAACCAGGTCTAAACCAGGTCTAAACCAGGACTGGGCCAGGGTATACCAGGATTGAACCAGGACTAAACCAGGTCTAAACCAGTCTAAACCAGGACTGGACCAGGGCTAGACCAGGACTGAACCAGGACTGAACCAGGACTGGACCAGGACTAGACCAGGTCTAAACCAGGACTGGACCAGGACTAGACCAGTACTAGACCAGGACTGAACCAGGACTAAACCAGGACTAAACCAGGACGGGATCAGGACTGGTACACGACTGGACCAGGACTAATCCAGGACTGGTATAGAAATGAATCGAGACTAAACCAGGACTTAACCAGGACCAGTGTCGATCTAGTGGCCGAGTTGCGCTGATCGCTCCCCTCCCCCGGTTCTCAGTATCGATCTAGTTCCTTACCGTTTGCTGCTACACACGTCATCCAGGCCGTCGTCCTGTGAGAAGTGTCTCTCTTCTTGGACCTCTTCCCGTTTCTGCAGATCGGTTTACATATAGTGCGATACGGGGCCGTATTAGAATTTGCCCCTAAAAACCTCAAAACTGTTAAAGTAGGACTCTGCCTGAATCTCCAGCCTCTACAGAACTACTGGTAAAATGTAGATGAAAACTTCATCAGATGGTGGAACAGATAATTTTGAGCTTTGGAAATGTACAGACTAATAATAAAGAGTTACTCAAACATGTGTGAATGAAACAAAACACAACTCCAGGTCTGTTTTTGATAAGATAACAGCATTTTATCATGACTAAAAGCTCTCAAGGGTCATTCTGTGTAATATAGGAGCTTTATTATTTGTGAACGCTGTGTATCAGTTTGACTGTGTGTGCAGTGTTGGACCATATGTTTGCTGTAAGAGGATTAAACTGTGACTGAGCTGCCCACAGCCCACTCATCGTCGTGTCCATTCACTCAGAGCTCCATCACTCTATTAGCTCATAACATTTCCTATAATAACAAAGACACATATAACCAGAGCTATACATTACAGCTGCACAAATTGATTTGAATTGAATGTGATTTTTTTGACAAGTGCTAACCGTCACCTTAACCCCACGATTGCTGTTAGATTTACAATACATGTTTTTAAAAGCAGGATTCTTTTCAGTGCACATTTGGTAAACAATTCCAGGAACTGTAACATGTGAGAGAAGAAAATACATACACATAAACAAATATTCCAAGAACCCTGTGCATTTCAGAACATGTCTGTGGAGGTCTAAACCAGTGATTCTTAACCATTTGGCCGGGGCCCAAAGTAGGACTGGGACCACCTCCTTGGGGGCCCCACAATCAGTACAATATAATACTTTTACTATGAGATGAGACAAGTTACTTTGTTCAGAAAAAGTTGGGCCCCAAGACCCCCTGGTCTAAACTACACAAAGGCACAAGATTTGTACAGATTTTTAGAAATATTTTGTTATTTTCAGAAAACATTCCTATTATCTAAAGCAGAACCACATTGGAAGAGCAAAATCAAGAGGAGAGCCACTTATATCCAACACACACCAACATACTGAATCACCTGTTTATATTAATAAAAAAGTTTGAAAAAAATAAAATAAAAATTATTATACAATTTAATATAATTAAAAAGTTATTAAAATCATTATATAAACTCAGTTTTACAACATATAAACCGTAACCACTCCACAGCCACATTAGCCCATTTGACATTATAATATGTTTAATTCAACAGAAACAAAACTTAAAACCACATAACTTATTTAAGTAAGTCTTTATTTATATAGCGCTTTTCATAGAAATTTTTTTGTCACAAAGACACTTTACAGAGCATTATTCAGCATTATTCATTCACTTTATACCTGGTAGCCACAGCTGCCCTGGGGCAGACTGATCGAAGCGTAGCTGCCCTGCCAATCACCGCCATCACTCATGCACACACCACATTCATACTAGGCAATGTGGGTGAAGTGTCTTGCCTAAGGACACACAGCGATTGAATTAAATGTATTTTTAACGGACCTTGACTATCAACTGTTCTTGGAGACCTGTAGCATGTTTTGGGTTGATCGGGGAAACCGGAGCCCGGAGGAAACCCATCCAGACACGGGGAGAAACATGCAAACTCCACACAGAAAGACCCAGGCGACCCGGGGATCAAACCCAGAACCTTCTTGCTGTGAGGCATGACTGCTAGCCACTCAGCCACCGTACCACCATAAACTACAAGCGCAGAAAAAAAACAGCTCTTTCCTTGTGTCCTGGTGTGGTTCAGCTTCTGTCGGACTAAAGGACACGACTCAGTGTAATATGAGTGTTTTTTCTGTGACAGAGGAGTGTTGATGTTGTTGATGATGATGGTGAGTCTGTTCTGTGTGTGTCGCATTGGAGATGGTTTACTTTTTCAGAGATCAGACGTGTGCAGGTTTAGTGCAGCTCTTTATTTAACATCAATTCACTCACTTTATTTACGTTGGTCACTTTATTTAGATGATGTTAATCAAGAGCTTGTTCTACTGTTTAAAATGCGGCTCAGGCAGCAGGTTGGGTACAATATGTTCAAATATATTTTTGCGGTCGGAGTTGGGTTAGTTGAAAACGTTGGTTGGGTACGGATCGTTTATGGACCCGCGCTCATGATTGGTTGCTGGTGTCACTGCGCCCAGTTTAGGAAACACCATTAATTAAGCCTTGATTTATACTTAGTGTAATGCAGATGTTTGTGTTGCAATCTTCAGTATATGTTTATCTGCACATTTGAAAAAAAATGTTTGAAAAATAGTACAGTTCAGCTATTCCAACAATGGAAAAAAAAAAGTCAAAGTTGTGAAACGCTTGAAAAATCATGTTCGCGTCGCTACTCCTACGATTAGATGTCAATGTCTAAAAAGCAGCATGTTGGAATAGCAGCATGTGACCCACTTTATGTTTCTGAGTGCAGTTTGTGTCAGATACACAGCGATATGTAATAGTATTGAGAGCTTTTGCGTCGCCGCCTTTTCAGACGACCAATCAATCGCCAAAACATGTCTTTAGTCCACCAGGAATTTCTTCAGCCGACTACAGCCCTACTGATTTGACCTACCCAGGGACCCTCTTGTTGTTTTTGCTGCAGGTTTTCTACACAGAGATGAGGGGCGGGCGTCCTGTGGGCTCGGCCTCTGTCATGGAGGTGCCTCTGAGCTTGGACATGCTGACCACAGTGAGTACGAACGCATCAACACAACATGGTCAAGTGTCACACATAAAATTACAGTCACAAACTGGATAGTTTTAGCCAACACACACCGAAACAGGACCATGAACGCTCATGTAGATCAATCAAATCATCTCATCTGTTGTAGTTAAAGGGCCCATCTCATGCAAAATCAACTTTTCAGAGCTTTCTCAGCGGCTCACTCAGAGTCTATGTCACATTTGGAGGGCGGAGCCTGTGCTTTCTCAGGACGGGCTGAGGGAGGAGCAATAGTCGGTCTTTTATAGTTCCTGGTCTGTGACTGTCTCCAAGAAATCAGTAAGATTTCAGAACTACTGTGTAATGGATGTTCCAAAACCCAAATTGTGCAGAAGATACAATGTGAAAAGAGTTATTTTGCTTGAAATGGGCCCTTTAAGTCATTTTTTTCTGGTCAGATTGTGTTAAAATTAAGATCAGATTAAAGTCTAATTTGAGTTTTAGACAGCGAAGTGCCTACAGTTAGCAACACACCTCCAGGGAATATCGATGACATCAGCCTCAAAGTATCAATAATGACTAAACATGTGATTTTCTTTCAGGGCCAGTTTGATGGACAGGCCAGTTTTGTAAGTGTCTCTTGACTTAACTTTTGTCTAAATTAAAGATTGTTATAATTTTTCCAGATGTTTTAATTCCTGTGTTTTTCCTGCTCCTCTCGCTCTCGTCAGGATGTGGTGGTCGGAAACCTGAAGGTCAACACTAAGTACGGGGCCAGTGTGGGGGCGTACGGCTGGGCGGGGGAGGGGAGGCCCAGTGTACCCAGAGACGTCAGCACCGCCTCACACGGTAACAGCATCGACACAGTAACAACATCAACATGGTAACCATGGTAACAACATGAACACGGCAACAACATGAACACGATAACAACATGAACACTGTAACAACATGAACATGGTAACAACATGAACACGATAACAACATGAACACTGTAACAACATGAACATGGTAACAACATGAACACAGTAACAACATGAACACGATAACATGAACATAACACATGAACATGTAACAACATGAACACGACAACATAACAAACATGAACACGATAACATAACAACATGAACACTGGTAACACAACATGAACACGGAACAACATGAACACGAAAACAACATGAACATAACAACATGAACGTAACACATGAACACGATAACAACATGAACACGATAACAACATGAACACGATAACAACATGAACACGGTAACAACATGAACACGAAACAACATGAACACTAACAACATGAACACGGTAACAGTACATTGTAATGTACATTCTTATAACATGTACCAACTTATGTACAGACCCTTCCAGAGTTTCTAAACAGAATACCTGAAGCCTGGTACTGTTCCATACATTAGTTTGATGTATTTTCACTGGGAGAATTAATATGAGCCTCCAAAGTTAAACAGGGCTGTTTTGGTAATTAGTGCTGTAGTTAACATAAATGCAAACAACCATGTAATAAAAGATGGCGGCACAGTGGCTAGCACTCTTGCGAGAGTGCTGTGCAAGATTCCGGTTTGGATTCCCAGGTCACCTGGGTCTTTCCGTGTGGAGTCGCTCTGTGTGTCTGAGCGGGGTTCCTCCGGTTTCTCCTATCAAACAACAACAAACAAAAAAACATGGACAAATCCTGTTGCTCCAAACTCTGTTGCCCCAGCAGCATTGAAGGATCTGTTGTAATGCGTAATGTCTCCTACAGGGACATTAGTGCGTTAATCTTAAACAGTTCTTAAATTTGTTTTGGTGCATAATAATGCATCAAAAATACAATGAGCCACATCAGTTTGACAATAAAATCGAGGTTTTATTTCATAAAGCTGGGAGTTGTATATTTACTCTTGAAGCTACCATCTGCCCACTGTCAGACAGAAATAACGTAGACAGCATATAGTGCTGAAGTGTGAGAATATCTAATTATAGAAATCTTCACTGCCATCGCAATTGTCCCTTGTGTAGTTTGAACTGCACATGCTGCACTTCCAATTCCATGATAAGACATTAAAAACTGAGCTAAAAACTAAAAGTTTCAAAAACTGCTCAGGGTGTTTACCAAGTAGCACAAAAGCACCCAACTACTCAGTTGCTTTGTGTAAAAGTCAGAATGAAAGCTTTTATTTTCCTTTCTATGACATGATCAAACTCTTATAACAGTTCTATGAGCAGCCCTCCACACGTCAGTGCAGAAGCGCCTATATACAGTACAACTGCTGCTCTATATAATCTTCCTGTTTTCCTGTTTGTGCTGCAGAGATGTGCATGCCCCCCACGCCCCCCACCACTCCGGTAGTGATGGCCGTTTCTGATACGGAGCTGGCGTTGTCGTGGCAGCAGGGGGAGAGTGAGGGAAGCGCCCCGATTCTCCACTTCCTGGTTGCATACATCAGGTACAGTGAAAGTATTTAAGTCATTATGACTTTGTTTATATTGTTCCTCTCACAAATGCACTTTCAGTCTCATGTTGGGCTCTTGTGCCTTAACCTTAACTCTAACCGTAACCTATTTGAACTCATATCTGAACTAGAACTAAAGATGCATTACGTAACTTTTCTGCCACATGCTTTTCTCCATGTAGATGTTACCAGACCAAGTTACAGGTCAGATCTGTGGAGAGGCGACCCCGCTCACAGTCAGAACGCCTGTTTTTCTACGTGTTTTTGAGCAGTAACACCACGTCTAATTGAATAAATGTAAGATAGAGCTGTTTATTAATGACATACTGTGGAACATTCCAGTCAAAGCAATGGCAAATTTTTAGAAATAAGCAGGTGACGGACCCCCCAGTCAAAACATTTCAGAGTGCACCTTTAAACCATGTTGTTGATCTATAAATGACTAAAAACATGGAACGTATTCACAAAATTTTACAGTTGTTAATATTCATATAATTTGTCAAGTGTTTAAAGGTGCACTATGTAACTTTTCTGGTGGAGGGTCCGCTACCAGCTTGTCTCCATGAAAATGTTATTTTTTTATGCCTGAAATATTCCACAATGTGTCATTCAACTTGTCTATCTTTTTATCAATTAAACCCTTGACAAAATGTGCATTCTTATTGTGAGCGGGGGACCACTCCACAGATCTGATGTGTAACTTGGCCTAATAGTTGTCTCCAGGGAAGTAAATAAGTAAAATGTCTGTGGAACATTCTAGGCAAAGTAATAACTTTTCCACGGAGACAAGCAGGTGACGGACCCTCCACCAGCAAAGTGAGGCATTGCATCTTAAGTCGTGTATCATTTGTTAATTTCTTTTTCAAAATAAAACCAAAAATAAGAAAAAAAAACAACTATTTTCTTCATTATTTTCATTTTTTCATATTAAAAAAAAAAAAAATGAAAAAAACAGATAACGATTTGTTTTTTCTGTTTTTGATTTTGTGTTTAAATGAAAAATGGAAAAAACAGATAACGGCCGTTTCCCGTTTGACTTAAACTGTGATACCAGACTGAACCAAAACTAAACCAGGACTAAACCAGGACTAAACCAGGACTAAACCAGGACTGAACCAGGACTGAACCAGGACTGAACCAGTACTGAGTGTTGGGACGGACCGGAGATGCGCCTACGTAGACTTTCAGGTGATCAGGATTGAGCCTGGTACCAGATCGGGACCAGGACCAGATTGGGACTGAGTCTGGGACTGAGACTGGGACCAGACGGGAACTGAGACCAGGACTGAGACCGGTTTAGTCCTGGTTTAGTCCAGTTTTAGTCCAGTTTTAGTTCAGTTTTAGTCCTGGTTCAGTCCCTGTGCGGTGCAAAAGTCCGGCAACGGGAAACTAGAAACGGACCGTTTTTTCCATTATTCATGGAAAAAAAAGAAAAAGCAAATTTTTATCCGTTCATTTTGGTTTTGGAGACAAATAATGAAGAAAATTGTTGTTTTTTAATTTTCTTATTTTTTGTTTTATTTTGAAAAACGAATGAATGATACACCGATTCACCTTTAAGTATTTTTTCCAGTATTATTGTTAAAGATGCACTGTGTAACTTTTCTGGCAGAGGGTCAGTCACCTGCTTGTTTCCATGGAGATGTTATCACTTTGCCTTGAATGTTCCACCGTATGGCATTAAACCTCCCATGTTGCATTTACTCAATTACACGTGTTATGTTTCCTTAAAAATGTGCATTCTTACTGTGAGTGGGCTCGCCTCTCCATAGATCTGAACCTGTAACTTGTGGCAGAAGCGCAATGCCATACTGTAGGAAAGTTACACAGTGGATCTTTAATTGTAATGACTTTAGTCGTGATAATTGTGGTACAAAATGTCAGTAGTTATCAGTTGTGTACACATGTGTTATATACAGAGTTCATGTACTTTTAGAGGCTGTGTACTGAAGTCTCACAGGTGAAGTACACTGTAGGTACATGTGGCCCCAGCGTGACTCCCGGGGCCCCTCTCCTGCTCTCCCGGGCTCCAGGCTTTTGTCTCTGATGGAAAAGCTTCATTTTGTCGTTAAACATGTGTCCAAAGTGAACGGTACATTTCACTGTCGCACCTCATGTTTCCCTCCGAACAAAGGCAGAGACGGTTTCTCTTTTGTCAAACATAAAACACAAAATCACTGCAGTCACGCTGGGCTAATTTAGTCCATAAAACTAAACAAGCGGAGGTATAGGTTGATAGAACATGTTTATTTATTTTTGCAGCTTTAAAGCGACTGAAAGAACACAGTGAAAGTATGCACGGGTCAGAGCTGTGATTTGATTGAACAAACAACGTTCAGACCGATGAATCTACGGTTTTTATAATGTATGTGGTCAGCCATATGTTCCCGTATTTCTAAGGCTACGTTCAGACTGCAGGGCTTAACGCTCAATTCAGATTTTTTTGTGAAATCCGATGTTTTTTCGTTCGTTCACATTTCCAATTAAATGTGACTTGTATGTGACTCCAGTGTGAACATTAAACGGCCCAAAAGTGTCCCGCATGTGCACTGAAGGACATGATGACGTCAATCGCAGCGAGCGTGCTCTGTGTTTATGGAAGTTGTCCAAACATGGACGCGAGCATTGAGCACCTGGAGATTTTAAAGTTCCTCTCGTACCGGAGCCAGAACATGAACAACTTACTTGTTTTAAGGAGGAGATTGAGAAGGAGAAGGACGAGGTTTTTGGTCGTGGTGTTTTGATTGATGATGATTGATTTGATGATAAAGGAAATGTGGAAGCACAGGTCCTACTTCTGAAAAGAAAAAAAACAAACAAACTTAGAAATGTGGGAACATAGGCACGCTCCCCTAATGTACTGCAGTATACAGACAGCTGTGAAGTTTAAAACTACCACTGAATGACATCACAAGGTGCAACAACACATTTTGAGCTTTGTAAACAGAACTGGTAGACAGACACAAGCACAACCAATAAAAATTCAGACTACGCACTAGGTCCAAAGACCAAAAGTCCAAAAATTGTGCAAAAGAAGAAAGAGATATGCACTGCAGTTCTTTGAAGCTCCTAAAATTTATTTCAGTGACACCACAATGTGACGTTTCGGGTCAAGCTCTTCTTCAGATGTGTCTGAAGCTTGACCCGAAACGTCACATTGTGGTGTCATTGAAATAAAAATTTGGGAGCTTCAAAGAACTGCAGTGCAAATCTCTTTCTTCTTTTGAACAAGCTTTGTAAACAGCCCAATAATACAGGATTACACAAAAACGTGAATGGAACAAAACAGACTCTCCACCAGAAGAGTTTTTATTTGGAAATTACATATGTCACCACTAAGTAAGTGCAAAATGTACCAAAACCACAAAAACAGGTAAAATACGAATCATTTTGGACAATCTGGAAATAACAGAATATTCAAAAAGAGATAAAAAACATGTTTTCAAGATGCGTATTGCTACAGAGTTCAGGAAGCCCTAACAAACCGTGACGGGGCTGGACACTGGAGCTCTGTTTAGTCTCAAACAAAAGTCTTCTTCAGTTTGAGAAAGTCCCTCATCAATGACACATGTAGCTCCAGGCTCTGCTCCTCCATCCCCCAAACAACATCCACGTCCGCCATGACTCTTTACTGCAAAAAAAAAAGAAAGAAGGAGTATCTGTGTGAGTAACATGCCAACGGAATAGTGCTCTGGTTCTGAGAAGTTTTAAAACGCATGTGACTGGTTTTATTTTCAAAACACATGACTGAAGACGTTTTAGATGTCATCCATGCATGTTTGAGTAATTTTGTGATCTTTCTTAGGCCCTTTTCGAACCCTATTTACGATTAGTGGTACGATTCTGTTCACTCCGCCCACAAGCCGACATTACCCATGCTCCGACGTGGCAATTCTCTATAAATATACAAAAACATGATACAAAAGTGTGCACAACAATTTGACAAACCTGTACGCTGATTGTATTGTATTGTGCGCTCTGAAGAGGTAGTGACTTAGCAAAGGGAGCAAAGGGGACTTGACTGAATTTTGACAACAGAAGGTAACATGGTGATGTGAATATGTTGTGTGGTATGGTACGGAAGCCGAGAGGGGTCACAACAAACGCAAACGCTGCAACAAATACAAATGCAACAACACAACAAAAAGCCACAACAAACCAAAAAAAGCCACAACGGAAATGACCGCGGGGACTCTATTTTAATGCAAACGCCACAACAAATACAAACGCCACAACACAAACGCAAATGCCGCAACACATTAAAAAGCCACAACACATTAAAAAGCCACAACACATTAAAAAGCCACAACACAAAACGTGAAATGAATAATGATAAAACAATAAATTACTTTTACTTACGTGTCCAACTTCTCCGTTCCTTTCCTTTTCACGTTGTAGTTCTTCTTCTTCACTTGCTGCTCGATCGGTCTGTTAGAAAATAGAGTCCCGCGGTGAATTCCGTTGTGGCTTTTTAATGTGTTGTGGCGTTAGTATTTGTTGCGGTGTTTGCTTTAAAATAGAGTCCCACGGTCATTTCCGTTGTGGCTTTTTTTGGTGTGTTGTGGCTTTTTGTTGTGTTGTCGCATTTGTATTTGTTGCGGCGTTTGCGTTTGTTGTGACCCCTCTCGGTTTCCGTAGTATGGCCCTGTCACACTTTGACGATTTAGCCAGCGTATGCCAACGTATGAAAAATCTGGCAAATACGCTGGTGCATGTTGGATAAATTATTGGTACGTTTTGGAAGCACGCTGGCATATGTCAACATACGGCAAGGTCGTTCAAAAATTTTCAGCATGCTTAAAATTTCTGGACATATGTCAGCGTGTGTTTATACGTCCTGCATACGTGGGCCATGAGTTGAGGGTAAGTTACGCGATCGTTGACACACATTCACACAGGTTAATTGTAAGTTCCTCATAAATCCAAATACTTTGAGGTCATGTCTAGAGTACGCATAACTTAGGAGTAATGTGCTTTGAACCTTTATCAAACTTACCTCCAACGCATATTGATGTATGCAGACGTATTTAACATGTTCCGATGACCACAGAACTTACTGAACGTGTTTCTAACTGTTACAGCCCCAGGTCTGCAGTTCTTTAAGTTTTGTGTGTGTCCCTTAATTAACTACTTGTTTGTATAAACCTGCATGACCCGTTTTGTGGCACAAAACTCATTGTCTGTTGTTTTGTTTCTTAATTTAGAGTATTCTATTTTAGTCTGTTTTGTTAATTTACCTTTTTACCATCCTGTTAATTAAACATTATTTAATTTATTCCATTTAACATCTTGTTTTTTTGTTACTTTCCTCACTCCAAGCGAGCTGGGTCGTAATACTAACTTATAGCCACTGTATAATGGTGTAATGGCAGCGTGTAGGGAAACTCGTATATAAAAATGGGGAGGAAACCGTCAGTCCTCCTCCAGACTTCATGGTGAGCAGACCCCTGGCATCACCTGCTATATTTATTTTTATGAGTCGAATCACAACTATTACGTAAATTTTAGTCCTTTATATAGTAAAACTAAAAGCTAGACCAGTTGTCATATTCAATTTAATATCTGTTTTGTAACCGTGTTGTGCGTTGTGTCCTCAGACCGGAGATGGACACCGAGTGGACGTACATCCGTGATCCCATCCAGACCAGCTCCATGGTGCTGAAGGGGCTGCTGCCGGACACCCAGTACCAGTTTGTGGTGAGGGCGGTGAACGTGCACGGCGTGAGTCCCCCCAGCCACATCAACAGCCCCGTGCGCGCTCAGTAAGACCACTACATTATTCTCCATCACAATGTTTCCTTTACACCTAAAACACACTTGTATTTACTCTTGCTCTACTTTTATTCCAGTAGCTTTTTTGGATTCTTTGTTCCAAATTTCATGACTATGTGACACTGAATGTGACTTTAGCACCACTTTTCACAGACTCATAATCTTGCACAAGACTCACAAACTCATAAAATCCCGAGGAGTGCACTAATGAAAAATCATAGTAAGAAAAAGAGAGCAAAAAAATCACGGTGGAGGGGTCGGGCTCCCGGACTGTAACATTGTACTTTGCCATGAAATACCATAAAATAAAAGAGGTGAATTCACAAATGTTGAACTTCTACTGGTAACTAAACCTGAGAAGTCACTATATTACTACTTAAATCTGCTTTTTAACAATATTAATTAGGGCTGGGCAAAATAAATAAATAAATAATATTAATCGCATGAGTTCCTGTGAATCATGGAAATGTAAACAAAAGTGCCACACATCTGTTGTGCAAACAGCATTTCTTTAAACAGGAGCAGGGCACTAGTCTGTAAAGTTCATGTTTATTCTTTTTCCTTTGGAGAATCTTACTCAAAAAAAGAACCAATTTCAGTGCAGTTTGTCAGTTCCTAGAATTTGACTTAAAGAATTGAATTCAGAAGTAAAGTGCATGTGATCATCAGCAGTAAAATAAAGTATTCAGTGTAAATCTCAACTGAAAAAAATCTAATCAAACCAAAAAAAACAAACAAACAAAAAAACTGAAATGAATTTTCACTGCCAAGGCTTTAAAAATGAGAATATCAGTCAAAAACAGTCACCACAAAACAGTACACATAACCAGAAAACACTTTCAGTGCACTTTATCATTTCCTAGAACTTTTTTTTTTGTTACTTTTCTGAACAAAGCCAGTTGCTAAGGCATACAAGAATATTATTATTATTATTAAGAATGCGATCGCTGGCATCAGCTTCTCATGGAAAGCTCTTGGTGCCTATGTGCTGTGTGTAAAATGTGTGTGTGATGTGACTCTGACACGTTGCATCTTGTGATCGGCCGAAGTCTCCCTCCACTTGTTTCACTGAATGATTTGCATCAGAGTGTGTTGGTTTAGGTGATATTTCAGACTCATGAAACTCTGGTGATAAGACAGTTCAGAGTTGCCGTGTTACAAATAACTTTGTCTGTGTCGACTGCACCGTCTGGAAGAACTGTAAAATGGCCATGTAAAAGTTCCTTTCCCTTTTCCATGTTTGTTTCTCCCACTTTCTTTCTCTCTGTTTTCTGTGAGCGCCGCAGCAGTGAGCAGCTCTCTAGACTCGCTCGCAGTGGACTTTTTCAAAATAAAATCAGTGAGCAACAGACGTTTACAATTGAAAAAATAAATAATAAAAACTGCGTTAAGGCGAGAAAAATTATTGTGGGCAATAATGAATTAATAAATTAACGCAAAATTAATTCATAATCAATATTAATTATAGCTGCTACTATCTGTATTAAACATAATTGGCCTATAAAATGTCCTTTGAAAACCAGCAACAACATTGTACATTTTTAGACCGTGATTATTATTATCTTGGTGTAAAAATGACTCTCTTCTGTGACACTGTTGGCGATGGCTGGAGTTGGCGTGACCTGGTGCCCTCCTGCAGTTGGCACAGACACACACACACCGTTCAGAGCCTGGCGTGGTTCACAGCGGGGGGCCCAGATTTGCCCCTCTCCAGACAGGATTAACGCTGACCTCCCAATCAACCACTAAACAATCTACTTATGTATAACGCGCGTTTTATGAACAAAAGTCACAGTACAAGTTTTTAAAAATATTAAAATACATTCACGTGTAGCTGTTCTACGTCAGGTATACCGTATGTTCATGATTGTTTTTGGTTTGAGATTAAAAAGCTGCAGACGGTGAGCGCGTCGGGGGCTGGGGGACTGTTACACAACACAAGATTAGCCGTTAAAGGATTTGGAGCAGCCCCCTCTCTGTGTTTTCAGTATTGAGGACTTAATGTCAATAGCTTCTGCCAATTAGCCTCGCAGCCGGCTGACAGGTTGATTCTCCAGCCCGTTGTTATTAAAGTGGATCTACACTGTAAATCTCTTTGTGTCATGTTGATTATAGCCACGCTGCTTTCAAAAGTGATTACTTACGATTCAAAATACAAATTTAGCCTTAGAATCTTTAAATGTATGGCTCCAAACCACGCAAAGATCTAAAGTTTTTAATTTAAAAGGCCAAAAATAACAGATTCAATTTACTTTGTATGAATTTTCTGTAATAATGTGCGGGTCAGGAGGTATAAGGAACAGCGTGATTGGCCTACTTATGAAACCAACTGATCGGTTACTTGATTAAAAGATGAATTATATACCGTATTTTTTGGGCTAAGCCTCCAGCCCCATCAAAAAACGACTGTGCGCCCAACAATCCAGAGCGCCCTACACAGGAAAACACTCAAGTGTCCCAGCACGACTTGAATAAACTACAAAACCGCACCACCCGCAGCGCACGCAAACACACACGGAGCAGACAGCGACCGCGCAGCGAAAAACACCCACAGACACACTCATCACTCCACGCCGACGAGGAACGGAACGGAGGAACGAACCGAAAAAGCGAGCGCAATGTGCCACTTTTAGACACGACTGAACAACTGAGTCACTGCGAACACGCCGACAATCCAGCGATCCCAGACAGCACCCTCCCTACACGCCACAACTGAACAAAGCCCAGAGTCACCGTGAACGAACAAACAAACAAAACCACTGAACCATCTAAGACTACATTGAGACTGCAGGGCTCAATTTGGATTTTTTTGTGAAATCCGATGTTTTTGCGAGGTCTTTCACATTTCCAATTAAATGTGACTTGTATGTGATCTCCAGTGTGAACATTAAACGGCCCAAAAGTGTCTCGCATGTGCACTGGAGGCGACGCGAGCATTGAGCACCTGGCGATTTTAAAATTCCTCTTGTACCAGAGCCAGAAGATGAACAACTTACTTGTTTTAAGGAGAAGATTGAGAAGGAGAAGGACGAGGTTTTTGGCCGTGGTGTTTTGTGGGGCAGCGGCAGCGACGTCCGTTGTAAGGAACGTGTGGATGTGGAGACGTAGCCAAGAGTGGTGAGTGGCGATGTGCTTAGCTTCAGTAACACAGAGTTCATTAACAATTACTTCAGCGCAGAATAGTGACGTTTGTGTCTTGTTGATAACGTGTAGGTGGATGAATGCACTTTGGCTGTTCAGACTGAAGTCGCATGTCAAAAGATCAGACATGTATCGATTTTAGGAGCACATATCCAAGTGTCCTGGGTCACATGTTACGAGCCCCGGCCCTTTGATATTTGTTTAGAGTGCTCCCGTTCTTCTGTAATTGCTTTTGTGTGTGTGATGCTCTTGGTCCGCGAGCCCTGGACCCGGATGTGCAGGAGTACCAGACGCGGGACGGAGGCTGGCGTCGCAGCATCGACGATTGGCCGTTTATCCCTGCGCTTCCACCAATAAGCGGATGACACCTGTGATAGCGGGGATTGAAATGGGACCATCTTCCTCCTGCTCGAGGCTGGATCACTGCGGCCAGCTCGCCCCTTTTGTTTGATGTTTTGGGTTGTCTCATTTTGTTCTATTGCCGGCTGTTGCCTCGTTTAGTTCGTTGAGACACCTTTTTTTTGTTCGCAGTACAACTTGAGTTAGATTTGTTACATTGTATTTAGTTAGGGCTCTTTAGTTTATTAGATTATTTAGTTTAATTCCTATTTATTTTCACCTCAATTGTCTGTTTTTTTTTTTGTTCTTCCCTTACACTGTAAATAATAAATGCACAATTTTTAGTTAAACCTTTAACATCCTGGTTTTATTGTTACTTCCCTTTTTCCCCTCGCAAAGGGGACGTAACATCGTATTTGAAAAAATCTGATCTGTGTCGTTCAGACTGTCATTAAAAGATCAGATACAGGTCACATAGGGGCCAAAAAATTGGATTTGGGTCACTTCAGGCTGCAGTCTGAACGCTGCCTAACTGTTGAGTTTAGTTTATAGTCTGGTGCGGTTTATTTGTGAAAAAAGTTTAAAAACTGACCATTTAATGACAGTAAAATACGGTACTATTGTTTACTTTTCGTATGATGCACACTGCAAAAACCAAACAGCACAACTTTATAAGAAAGGGTCAAATGGGAGAAGAAGTTGTGTTTATGTTTTATGAATTCTTTCCCAAAACACACAGAGTCTGGGCAGGTCCAAAATAAGTGAGAGGTGGTTTCATTTTTCAGTTTGTGTCCATTGTCCTTCTAAGTTGATTCTTTAGTGGATAAACAGTGATATAGAAGTTTGTAGCAGATTTCTCTTTGCTTGTTGGTGATGAGATATTTGTGAGGTCATGTCCATTGTCAGTAGAGTCGGGGTCTCACAGAGCATGAGTAGGGCTCTGTTTGGGAGGTGCACTTGTGCTGATAGTCGCTCTTTTTCCGCGGCGACTCATTATAAGACAAGTTTAATTGAAGACGAAGCCAAGTAAGTTCCTTTTCAAAAGTTCATTGTTCATTCAAATGAATCTCATTGGACTAAGCCTTATCTCATCATTATCTCATCACCATGGCGACCAGAGATGCATCATCCCCCTGGCGACTGGCACTCATCTGTAGAGTGCTCTGCTCTTACATCTACATTTCTGACGTGTACATTGAGTCCTCATCCACTTTTCCATACCTCGCTCTAATGAAGTGAAAGCTGTCATTCTGACCTGAGCATCACCTTTACATTTCCCCTCCTCACATTTTCTACTTTCATTCGATTCCTTCTTAATGTTCCTTATCTATTTTCTCCCTCTGATGTCTCTATAAGTAAACCCTGTGCAGACACTTTCACATGTTATCAAAAGGTCCAAGATTCTTATTAAAAGTTGTTTTTTTTTAAGCTTTCTGTCATGTTATAATGTTGTTCTCTTGTCAAAAACATGCCTGAAGAGTCATTTTTGTTAATGTTTGAGTCATTTAGTGATCTCTCCTAGGCCCTATTCAAATCTAACCTGATTCATCAGATGGTTTTACTTCGTGGAAACCAGATTAGGATTTGTTCGCTTGATGGTCAGCGGGTACTTTTTTTATTTAACCAATCGCTGCTATTTGTTTGTGACGTATGTAATGCTCCAAATTCTGTAGGAAGAAGGACAATAACATCTTTCCCTTTGATAAAATTCACCAAAAATGGTCTTTGTTCCGCCTTTAAATCCTCGATCTCGGGAATCGTTGCCAACACAGAATGTCTGTCTTCGTCTACATCCATCTCGACGCTTTGTTTACTGTTGTGCTGTTCCACAAAAGGGACACAGACAGAGGCTTGAGTTTGACGTCATGGCTTCACAGCTCTTCACTGATTGGTCGGTGTGTGGTCTACAACTTCCGGGGTCTTGCAAACCGTCTAGTGTATTCTGATTCCTGACCTAGTCGCTGGAGAGAATTGAAATTGAGCGGAGGCACTAGGGTGGTGCCAGTCTGGCTAATTCAAACCCTTCTTAGCTCTAAGAGTCAGTGCCAAGCTCCCACACGACAGTTCTCCATAAATATACAAAATTACAATACAAAATTGTACACAACAAGTTGACAAATCTGTTGCAATGTACAGGAGTTTGATGCATGCTGATTGTGTTGGGACACAACAAACATTTTATTGGAAGTTCCTTTTGTTTAGATGGTGACGGCGTTTTTGGGGCTTAAAAACGCAAAAATCTGAACCCACCCTCCAGAGTGGAAAAGTTGAATTCGCTCCGTCGTAGTGTTTCCGTCTCCACTGCCCAAGACGCAAAACTCTGGTCAGATCTACTCAGGTCGCGTACATGTTTACGTCACATACATCACCACCGAGCGTCACCACCGAGCCGCCTGACATGCAAACACTATCGAATTCCACACACATTTGCGTCACCGTATGCACACAGATTTCCTCCCGAAAACTCGTCTCGTCTAAACACAGAATAATAAGTGAAGACGTGACTCCACTTTTGCGTCTTCTATTTTTAGACCTGTTTTAGACCTGTTTTTAGACCTGTTTTAGTCCTGGTTTAGACCTGTTTTTAGACCTGGTTTAAACCTGTTTTAGTCCTGGTTTAGACCTGTTTTTGGACTTGTTTTAGTCCTGGTTTAGACCTGGTTTAGACCTGTTTTAGTCCTGGTTTAGACCTGTTTTAGACCTGTTTTAGTCCTGGTTTAGACCTGTTTTAGACCTGGTTTAGACCTGTTTTAGACCTGGTTTAGACCTGTTTTAGTTTGTTTTAGACCTGTTTTAGACCTGTTTTAGTCCTGGTTTAGACCTGTTTTAGACCTGTTTTAGTCCTGGTTTAGACCTGTTTTTAGACCTGGTTTAGACCTGGTTTAGACCTGTTTTAGACCTTTTTAGACCTGTTTTTAGTCCTGGTTTAGACCTGTTTTGGACCTGTTTTAGTCCTGGTTTAGACCTGTTTTTGGACCTGTTTTAGTCCTGGTTTAGACCTGGTTTTAGACCTGTTTTAGTCCTGGTTTAGACCTGTTTTTAGACCTGGTTTAGACCTGGTTTAGACCTGTTTTAGACCTTTTTTAGACCTGTTTTAGTCCTGGTTTAGACCTGTTTTTGGACCTGTTTTAGTCCTGGTTTAGACCTGTTTTTGGATCTGTTTTAGTCCTGGTTTAGACCTGTTTTTGGACCTGTTTTATTCCTGGTTTAGACCTGGTTTAGACCTGTTTTAGTCCTGGTTTAGACCTGTTTTTGGATGTGTTTTAGTCCTGGTTTAGACCTGGTTTTAGACCTGTTTTAGTCCTGGTTTAGACCTGTTTTTGGACCTGTTTTTGTCCTGGTTTAGACCTGTTTTAGTCCTGTTTTAGTCCTATTTCAGACCATCATTATATAAAGGTAGTGTCAGTCTTGTTCAAAAACGCAGTACAGACACCTGCTCTCAAATGTAGTGAAGTAAAAGTAAAAAATATCTGCTTTAAAACTGAATTAAGGAAGTACAGATATCTTAAATTTATACCTGAAGTACAGCTCTTTACTCTTTTACCCTTTACTACTTTTCCTTTGTTACGTTCCGCCGCTGGTGTTTGAGAGGTACAGTTTTTTTGTTTTTTTTTATGCAGGTGGGTCGGAGGTGGGCAGCGCGGACTACGGCCTCTACAACACAAACCTGGGCCCGGATGAAGATCTCTTTGACGTGGACGACTCCGACTATGACGTCTTCATAGAGGAGGTGCGTTCAAAGAGTCGCGTTCGAAATTTCACGCGTCGCCTCGAGCCGTAAGTAAGGAAATGAACGTAAATAAATGATCGTGTCGTTGTCGTTTTCAGTTGAATCCATTTCCCGGGATTCCTCAGGACAACAGGAAGTCCCAGCTGCGTTCTCGGCCCGGGTCGCCTTCAGGACAAAACGTGGTGTACCGCATGAACCCCATCCTCCCTCCGAACGCCACCTCTACTCCGCTCTCCTCCACCTCCGTCTCCTCCTCTACATCCAGTGCGCCAGACTTTACAGATCTGCTGTTTCCCACCACCACTGAACCCACCACCACCCCTACTACTACAACAACTACTACTACTACTACTACTACTACTACTACTTCACCTCCTCCAACTACAACCACAACAACAACGACCACCACGACCAGGTATTTCCCTTAAGAATGTAACATATGATACAGTTTTTATCAGTAAAATCAGACCAGATTTGGACACAAGTACTTATCTCGGAAAGAAGTTTTTTTTATACTGTACTGTATATATACTAGTGCAGTGGTCCCCAACATTTTTTGTGCCACGGACCGGTTTTATATCCGACAATATTTCGCTGAACGGAGGGGGTTGGGGGTTGGGGTGGTGGCATGGTTTAGACCTTGTTTAGTCCTGGTTTTAGTTCTGGTTTAGTTCTGGTTTGGACCTGTTTTTAGACCTGGTTTAGACCTGTTTTTAGTCCTGTTTTAGTCCTGGTTTAGACTTGGTTTAGACCTGGTTTAGACCTGTTTTTAGACCTGTTTTAGTCCTGGTTTAGACCTGTTTTAGTCC